TTTTTACAATATCTCGATGGTTTTTTCCCAATCTAGAATGCGAATTCTTAGAGTTAAACAGTGAACATTAAAACACCAATAAACTGTGATAAGCTACTCACATAATGTAACACAAAAAATATTTTTTTACATTTTTCAAGCTGTGATTTTTTAAATGACAAATGTAGTTTATAGGATAATTTTTTTGATATTACGGAAACACAAATATGTTAGAAATAGAATTAACTTTGCCAATAGCAACCGAAGAATGGACAGGCTTGAGTAAATCGACAGTTGTAACACGGTGCAGCTATCCCATTCATGTATGTATGGATGAGGGTTGGAATCATTATACCAATTAGATAATATCCAGAAGCAAGCAAAAACATTAATAGAAAGACTTGTATCATTGTTTCCTTGCAATGTAAGCTAGAAGAAAAATTATCCGAAATTATTGTAAAGAAATAGTAATAAATGGACATGGATTATTTTCTAAATTTGAAGAGAACTCTCTTATTTAGACGTATTTGCCCTTCTTCCAGTTTACCCATATCATCTTTCAGAAGATGAATCCTAATCCCTTTAGCATAATTCTCGATATATCTTTGCCAATTGATCGATTCAACATCGAATAAAAAATGGCTTTTATCATTGTCACTCAACTCGTTGTTAAGTTCTCTGACGTTATAATCATTGATCGCAAATTTTCGATGGAGAAATGAAAAGAACGACTTCCGAACTCGATCTGCTGATTGCTGCAGGCGGAGCATCGTGAAATCTCCAGCAATTAAGAGGTAAGTATACGTTAACAAATCTTGAATAGCCATAATAATTGCATACACGTAATAATAATTTGTAAATATCGTGTATGGATATCGCAAGATTTTTCTATAAGGATGACTTCTTGAATAAACGTTACGCTCCTCCAGGAATCGCCGGCAGGAGATTGGATTGCATTTTTCTAATCCATAATTGTAAATTTTTGTTTCACTGCTAAGAATTGAATGTGTCACTTATATCCGCCATAATAGAGAGTAGACACCAATTGCAAAGGGCATTGTTGCACCGAATTATTTTTGCAGCCATAAGACTGTTGTATTATTATTTGCCACGAGGGATCGCAGATACTGTCGTCACACGCATGCGCCTCCCTCCCGCGGCCGACAGGTTAAAATCAAATTTGAGAGGGATACAAATTTTGGCTCTAACAAAAATTGTAAGAAAAAAAATAATATAAAAAAAAATAAAAAATATATAGTTGGACATTTATATTTAGGGAATTATAATGATTACGGAGGAATCTCATTAATTGGCTTTCTAACGTTCACCAAAAAAAAGACATTATGCCGTCGTCAGGTTCGTAAGAGTTAGTTACACCAAGCGTCCGCTTGGCGTGGTGGTGGCGCTAGTTACCCAAAATACAGGGCGATGCACCCCCAAACGCCACGGGGGTCTCCATTCACGTTAGTTCCCGCCGATCCGTCGACCGATGAAGACCGTAAAACGATATTACA